GGGTCCTGGTAGATATCGAGAATCTTCCTCCCCTATAGTCGAGAAAGTTTGGTGCCCGGCCATTTGATAGAGGTCTTGAAGGGCCTGGATTTGGTCATGGTCAAGTAAGGGGTGATAGTCTGAGTAGAAACAATCCAAATGTGCGACCAAGAGAAGGAGACTGGATTTGTGCGGATCCTGTGTAAGTTCATATGTTGCTTTTGGAATTGTGAATCTTTGATGTATTTTTTTTTTTAAAGTCCTCTATATAATAAATGATTTTGTGGGCCTCTTTAATTACATTTTAATTTTGTATTTCTTGGGCTGTAGGAAGGAGATGTTAGTGTTTCATTTAATGATTCAATAAAATAACCTTCTATCTGAAGAAAACCTTTTATCTAAAAAGTATATACTGTAACAAATATATACTTTTTTTTAAATAAAGGAGAAATATTATTACGCACAGAGGTAGCAAGGGAGTACCATCCCAAAATACAAAATTAACAATCGATCAGGTGGTTCATAACAGTCTCAATATTTTCCCAATCAGTTATGTCATGACCAATCAAAATAGATCCGAAAGTATGAAACCATTTATTTCTAATATTTACAATGTCTGTAAAATTTCTATGTTTAATTTCTATATTTACCTAATATATATTTGTTGATTAGAGCAATAGTAGTTTTTTTTTTTTCTTAATTTAATTTCTTGATACTGAATTTATTGTGAAATTTCTATGTTTTTTTGTTTGTTAATGCTCATTCTATTTGCAGATCAAAACTAGTTTACAGCTTCAAGTAAACTATTAAATCTTGTTAGCGTTCTTCCTTGACAATTTTATGACTTATCCCGCCAACCTCTGTCCAAGATTGGAATTTTTTACATATGGATTCTTTTAACTTGCAATTCCCGTACATGTTAGAAGTATTTATTCAAGTGTCCTAACTCATTACTACGTTGCAGTTGTAGAAACCTGAACTTTGCTAGGCGAGAATACTGTAACAACTGCAAGAGGCATCGATATGCACCTCGGGGAAGTCCTCGCAGGGGGTTTGCCGTTCCCCCACCTCCACCTCATGGTGCTCCAAGACGTGTTCCTGGCCCGCCCCTGGATCTTTCTCCTGGCAGGACAATAAATGGCTACGGGTCTCCTCCTCGTGTTTGGGACACAGATGGCCGTCGAGACTATGAGCCTGGCCTCCCACCTCCCAGACATGAAGGTAGATTCTCTGATCACATTGGCAGAGAGAGGCTGGACTACCTAGAAGATGACTATAGGGGGAGAAGTAGACTTGATAGGCCAGTGCCAGTTGTTGATTGGGGCCAGAGAGACCGTGGCAGGGATAGTTTTTTCAATGAGAGGAAAGGTTATGAAAGGCGAATGCCCTCTCCACCATTACTGCCACCCACACTTCCTCCTCATCGTGGTCGCTGGGGACGTGAACTGAGGGAGAGGAGCAGGTCCCCTATTAGGGGTGGCTTTCCTCCAAAAGACTACCACCAGGATATGTACGTGGATCGAGTTCGAGATGATCGGCGAGGTCTGGGGAGAGACAGACTTGGAGACACATATTAGCATTGTCAGATTGCAGGTTGTGTCGTGAATAACATAGATGTTTGTGCTGTTTAGTAGAATGCAGAATCATGTTATACAACAGTTTAGGACTTAATTTAGTGCTTTCTGTTGATATGTTTTACTGACTTGTAACAATTTTAGAATTCTTTTCTTGTGTTTCTCGTTCTTTCTATTGCTGTTTTTGACTATAAAGAAAGGAATGGTATTGTTGCTCTCTTTTTGAAATGTAGGATGGCTCACGCAGACAAGAGTTACGCGGATGCACTCTCCGCATGAAGTAGGTATTTTGGATTTATCTTCTCAGTCGCTGTTTTTAAGCATTTTGTTATAATCCCCTAACAACAGTTTTAGAACGGAGGATTCTTATTGTCTGTTGATGAGAAAGAAATGTAAGAAAAAAAAATTCAAGTATTATCACTTAACGCTTTAAGAAAAAATTTGGGATTAATAGTTTATAAAATATGACTTAAGAGTTTGTAATTAATTAAAAATTATTTTTAATATAACAAAAATTATTTTTACATTGAAAGTTTCAAATAAATATTTATTATAAATGTTGTTTTATTAAACATAAAATAATTTTTTCAAAAATAGGAAATTGACAAATTTTAGTTCCCGATTTTACTTACGTACATGTATTGTTTTCACGATTATAAATACTCCGTATCAAAACCTTTTAGAGTCAGATTTAAACAAAAACTTTTTACCCCTGTTAGAAATATATGTTCAAATATTATTGATAATGATAATAATGTATAAAAGGGTTTTAACTTGTACTAGTGAAGATAATTAGGGAATTGAATGGAGCTTAATATTTGATTTTTAGAAAAAAAAAAAAAACATTATAAGGTTGGGTTAAATTTATTTTTAAAATTGAGTTATAATATTTTAATTATAATTTAATTTTTAAATTCACGAAATTTAGTTCAAAATCTATTTTTTCTATAAAATTTCCTACAAAAGCAATAAAAACTATTTTTATATAATTTGAGCGACGCAACATAATTAAAAATTTATTAACTAATATTAAAAATTTTAAATAAAATGTCAGAAAACTAAAGTTCGCATTCATCTTTTTCTTCGTCATTTACTTCAAAGGTGAATTGCATCCTCTTGCTTTAAAAAAGCCGAAGAGAAATCAACCCTAACCTGATTTTAAATTTATTGGGCAAAAACCTCTCATGTCAATCTTTCTACTAATTTCTTGATTAAAATATTCAAAGCACTCTTTAATCATTATCCCTATTCCCAAACAACTCACTATTTTGCACCTATGCCTATAACAAAACAACATTAGCTAATTACTACTACTATTCTTGCTTTCAAACACAAATTGTCTTCTATATATGTCATCTCCAATTGAACCATAACTATTGGTCTTGTTTTCAAACACATTTTAAATTTGTAAACATAAAAATATAATTTGAAGCAATACCCGATATATAATTTAAAAAAATAATTAGCAAGACTCTTATTAATTTACTTTATGTATATAATCTCATTGAAAATTTTAAATAAGGTTAGAGCATTATCAAATTCATATTGAAAATTTGAACCATACTAATAGGTTTTGTAATACCCAGTCTCGAAATTTAGTTCGTAAATAATTTTAACAGTTTAAATATAAAAAAAAATTATTTTTAAATTAATTTATTTTAATTTTTTGTTGAATTATTAGAAAAAAAATAAGTTATGAATGAAATTGAAAATAATTTTAGGAAAAATGAACGAAAATTTAGGTTCGGGGTGGTGTTTTTGAAAGAAAAATTAAAAACTGGGGGTCAGAGTCCAAACAATAAAAATTTTGCCACGTAAGACCGCCCGATCAGCAACTCCAACGAACTAGAACACGCCGCGTGGCAAGGCACACTGACGTCGATGCCACATGTGTAACGCCCTAATTTTTTTTCTTTTTTTCGCAGCATTACGATTATCCTATCAACATACATGATATAATATACATCATCCCATAAACAACGTCGACTATCCATATAGAAAAGGGTTCAATGCAAATCATTCAAATTATTGAATCCATTGTATATATATCAATATGGTAATTTACAATTTTACAATTTCTCGTTTCAAATGAGTTATTTGCTACTAATTATCTATGTATTTCATTTCCCTATCCATACTCTTTGCTCCGTCGTCTCTACCCGCTTAATTCGGAAGCATATAGTTCTGGTTCATCTTTCAGTACTACATCATTTGTAAATGATAAGTAATGAGCATACAGAAACTCAGTAAAGTAAACTCAAATCATATACAAGGTCTGACAAACCAGTTAAATGCCTACCCCCCCCCCCCCATTAGATCTCCACTTCCATTGGTCGCGCCATATTTCCTACCCACACCTTTCTCCCCTTGTTCACCTATCCCTACTGTAACCACATCATCTCCTCAAAGAGAATCATCAACCCTCCCACTTATTACCAGGAGCGGTCACCTTATTAAACCATCTCAACATTTCCCACGTACCTGTCCACTCGATCTTGACTCGGCCACTCACCCACACATTCATTCCCAGGTAAATGCCCCCCACAGCGGTCACCAATATCGGCGACCCCTACTTGTCACCACTCGACCCCCAACTGGCCACTCACTCGTAACTTCTTCCATTTCTTCCATCACCAATATTTGCGACCCAACTCATCCTTAGTATCATCAATCTGCAACCATAAAATAGCCACACACTCACACTGTTATCTTCGCGGTAACCCCTAAATCAGTCACCAATATCAGCGACCCCACTCATCCCTCCAGCACCAACAACCAGCAATAACCAACATCGGCTTATTCAGTCACCAACAATATCACCGGTAGAGTTATATAATATCCACAATAATAGTTCAACAACACACATGCACGCAAAATCAGCAAACACAAAGAACAATTCATGCAAATATACATGTTCGAAAAAAACATAAACTAACTCATACTAACATCCACACACATATTCATTCAACAGTATTCACATATACACTCATTATCCCCATCTTATCACTTAATTATATACTCATCTCATCTCACTGTATCACTCCCTCTTATCCTTCTCAATTGCCCCTCCTGGACCATACACACATACGCTCTCTCTCATTTATATATATATCTCTCTCTCTTATCCCCTCCAAATGTCCCTCTCGGCTACTCCCTCACATTAGTATAACTCCCTCTCACTCTCACTATCATCTCTCTCTTTCCACTCCTTCCAGTATTCCCTCATGGACTACTCCCTAACACTAGTGTATTTCCCTCTCACTCACATTGTCATCTCTCTCCTTGAACTCTTTCAAATGTTCATCTCGTACTACTCCCTTTCACGGATATCTCCCTCTCACGATTTCTCCAATGATTCCTCTCAAACCACCCCTTTCCTAGCCCAAACTCTACTTAATCAGACTTCCTCTGGTGGTGACAATAAACGTAGATACTAATATGGAGTCATACAGTCTTCCTTCGCACTCTCATTCCTAATTCCTGCACGGTTTCATCACACGCTCGCCAACCAGATTTCTCCTTCCCTATTCACTCTCCTCCCGACTCCCTGCGAGTCGTTCTTCCTGCTACGGCGCCCTAGCCTCTCTGGTAATCTACTCCCTTTTAACTAGAGTCCAATTCATCAATATGTATTTCCATATAAATATTTAACCATATTCTGCAAGTTTCAGTATTTGAAGTTTAAGTTTATAATACCTCATGTCTCTATCGTTTTCCACAACCAGGGCTCGCTCACTCACCTTAATCATCACCTCCTTCTCCAGTTCTCTCTCAATCCTCGACCGACTGCCTCTTTTCCTCTTTTCTCGTTTCTTCTTTCTCCGACTCCCTCTCCAATTTATATCGATTGTCTCCCCTTTTCTTTCCCTTTTCTCTTCTTTTCCTTTTTCCTTTCTTTTCTCCTTTTTTTTTTCTTTTTCACCCTCTTATTTATACTTACCCGCCAAACATCACAAACGTCCATTCCATCATTTATTTATTTTATTTTATTTATATATATTTAACTCAGTTATTACAACGCGGGATGCCACACAGGCGATTTGCATGCCCTACGATCGAACGACCTGGGATCGTTCCTACACGCGTGGATGGCCCAGATTTGTTCCACTTTAAACGCGATCAGATGGTCGAGATCAAATCATAATGAACGGTCTAGATTTATTTTCTCTTTAAATGCGATCGGACAGTCGAGATCAAACGCGATGAACGGTCCAAATTAACGCGAGATTGGTATAAATATTTCGCATCAAACTGAACCCAAACTCTAACCGCCAGCCTTCCGCCAACCGCCGACTGTCGCCACACTGGAGCTACCTCCGATTGCCCAAAAAGGTAAAAATTCTCCTATCAACTCGGAATTTGATTCCAATCACCCTCATGGAAAAATCGAAGCAAAAAGAATGGTGGTTGAGCCGAAAATCATAGGCGAAGCTTGGCAGCGCCGCAGGCAAAACCTGCAACCTCCTCCAATGAACCTCTTTCCGTTTTCTGTTTCATGCGATTTTTCAACCGTTGTATTCACCGTTCTGTTTTCTATAGGTTGACTGAAGAAAAACTCCCAGCCGTAGAGCCGCCACATTTGAAAAACCCCACTGCCAATAGGTTTCTATTTTTTAATTTTTTTAGGGTTAATCGAGACCCCTTAACGTGTTTTTTCGCAAAAATATGTATAAAACCGATCAAAATCAACCAAAAATGGCCAGATTGAGGCAAACCACCACCGCGGGTGGTGGTGTCGTTGTCGGAATACAATGGCGTCGCCGTGCCGGAACCCTGAAATTGGCTAAAAAGATTTTTTTATATCGATTTTAGATTCTTAAGGTATTTTTAGATACGTGACAAGTGTTTTTGATTTCGCATGAATAATTTAGAAAACTCGGGACCACCAATAGATGCAATAGAAAGTTCAGTATTTCGGACACTGATTCGAGTAAGGATCCCTCACTCTTTTCTCTGTTCCAGCAAATTGAGGCTTAATAATTAATAATTTTGTATTTTTATGAAAAATTAGAGAACCTTAAAAATAATTATAAGTCACTAGTGGAGCTGGAACTGATTAGTTCATAGTCGTTTTGATTTCCTAATTTATTTTTATGTATTGTCTATATTTGTTTACTATTATACTGTACGTAACTCAATTAATGGTCTTTTTGGTTATTTTGTTATTTATTTTTCATGCATTGCGTGCCGGTATTTCGATCATTGGTTATTTGACTGTG